TAGATTGTGAAGCAAGCAACACTTTGAAGTAGGAGAGATTGTGACGCAAGGAGCACTGTGAAGTAGGATAGATTGTGAAGAAAGCAACTCTCTGATCTTGGATAGATTGTGAAACAAGGAACACTCTGAAGAAGGATACCGTGTGAAGCAAGGAACACTGTGAAGTAGGAGAGACTGTGAAGCAAGGAACACTGTTAATGAGTATAGATTGTGAAGCAAGGAACACTGTGAAGTGGGATAGATTTCGAAGAAAGCAACACTCTGAAGTAGGATAGACTGTGAAGCAAGGAAAACTCTAAAGAAGGATGGATTGTGAAGCAAGGAACACTGTCAAGTAAGAGGGAACGTGAAGCAACTAACTCTGTTAAGTAGCAGAGAATGTGAAGGAAGGAACACTGTGAAGTAGCAGAGAATGTGAAGGAAGGAACACTGAAGTAGCAGAGAATGTGAAGGAAGGAACACTGTGAATCTGAATAGATTTTTAAGCAAGAAACATATTTAAGCCAAAGAGATTGTGAAGCAAAGAGCAATCCTTTTAGAAAGGAAGTCAGCATAAGTGTTTAGAAAAGGCTTCAGCACGGGTACCTACAAAAAGAGACAGAATATGCGTTTAGAAAAGGAGTAAGCGCATGTGCTTTGAAAGGAAGTCAACATATGTGTTTAGATAGCGAGTCGTCACATGCGTTTAGAACGGGAGTCAGCACATTTGTTTTGAAAGAGAGTCAGCATATGTGTTTAGAAATTGAGTCAGAAAATGTGTTTAGAACGGGAGTCAGCACATTTGTTTTGAAAGGGAGTCATCATATGTTTTTAGGAATATAAGTCATCATGTGTGTTTAGAAACGGAGTTAGCACATGGGTTGTAAAAGGGAGTCAGCAAATGTGATTAGAAAGGAAGTCAGTACGTGTGCTTAGAAAGGTGTTAGCCCATGTGCTTAGAAAGAGAGTCAGCATATGTGTAAGAAAGAAAGTCAGAATTTGTGTTTAAAAAGGGAGTCAGCACATGTGCCTAGAAAGGAAGTCAGCACAAGTGCTTAAAAAAACAGTCAGCAGATGTGTTTAGAAAGGAAGTCAGCACATGCGTTTAGAAAGGGAAGCAGCACATGTGTGTAGAAAAGGAGTGAGGACGTGTGCTTACAAAAAGAGAATACATATGTGTTTAGAAATGGAGTCAGCACATGTGTTTAGGAAGGGAGTCAGTACATCTGCTTATAAAGATAGTTTTGCATATATACTTATAAAGGGAGTCAGCACATGTGCCAAGAAAGGCAGTCAGCACATTTGCTTAGAAAGGGAGTGACTATATGTGCATAGAAACGGAGTCAGCACATGTGCTTAGAAAGGAAGTCAGCACGTGTGTTAACAAAGGGAGATATCACATGTCCTTTGAAAGGGAGTTAGCACATGTTGTTAGAAATGGAGTCAGCTTATGAGTTTAGAAAGAGAGTAAGCACATGTGCTTAGAGAGGTAGTTAGCACATGCTTTGTGAAAGTGTGTCAGCACATGTGCTTAGAAAGGTGTTAGCACATGTCCTTAGAAAGGAAGTCAGCATATGTTTTTTGAAAGGAAGTCTCCAAATGTGTTTAAAAGGGAGTCAGCATATGTGCGTTGTTTGGGAGTCAGCATATGTGCGTTGTTTGGGAGTCAGCATATGTGTGTTGTTTGGGAGTCAGCATATGAGTTTAGAGAGAGAAATGGCACATGTGTTAAAAGAGTCAGTACATGTGCATGGAGGGTGAATCAGCACATGTTCTTAGAAAGGAAGATAGCATATGAGTTTTTAAGGGGAGTCTACACATATGCTTAGAAAGGGAGTCAGCACATGTGCTTATAAAACGAGTCAGCATAAGTTTTTAGAAAAGAAGTCAGAATATGTGTTTAGAACGTGAGTCAGCACAAGTGCATTGAAAGAAAGTCAGCATATGTAGTTAGAAAAGGTGTCAGCACATTTGTTTAGAAATAGAGTCAGAATATGTGTTTAGAAAGAGAGTCAGCACATGAGTTTTGAAAGAGTCAGCATATATGTTGTGAAAGGGGAGTCAGCATATGTGTTTAGAAACGGTTTCATCACACATATTTTGAAATGGAGTCAGCACATGTGCTCAGAAAAGGAGTCAGCAAAGTGCTTAGATAGGGAGTCAGCTTACGTGCTTAGAAAGGGAGTCAGCGCATGTGCTTAGAAAAGGAGTCAGCAAAGTGCTTAGATAGGGAGTCAGCACATATGCTTAGAAAGGGAGTCAGCACATGTGCTTATAAAACGAGTCAGCATAAGTTTTTAGAAAAGAAGTCAGCATACGTGCTTAGAAAGGGAGTCAGCACATGTGCTTAGAAAAGGAGTCAGCAAAGTGCTTAGATAGGGAGTCAGCATACGTGCTTAGAAAGGGAGTCAGCACATGTGCTTAGAAAGGTAGTTAGCATATGTGCTTTGAAAGGGTGTGAGCATATGAGTTTAGAAAAGAAGTCAGCACATCATCTTAAAAAGGGAGAAGTCAGGACATATGCTGACTCCCTTTTTAGATGATTAGAAAATGAGTCAGCACTTCATCTTAGAAAAGGAGTCGGCATATGAGTGTTAGAGAAAGAGAGAGCACATGTGTTTAGAATGGAAATCAACATATGTGTTTAGAAAGCGAGTCATCACATGTGTTTAGAAAGAAAGTCTACACATGTGCTTAGAATGTTAGTCAGCATGTGTGTTTAGAAAGGGATTCAGTTTATGTGTTTAGAGAGTCACATGTGTTTTGATAGGGAGTCAGCACATGTGTTTAAAAACGGAATCAGCACATGTGTTGTAAAAAGGAGTCAGCACATGTGCTTAAAAAGGGAGTGTCTGCACATTTACTTTGAAAGGTAGTCAGCATAAGTGTTTAGAAAAAAATCAACATATGTGTTTAGAAAGAGAGGCAACACATGTGCTTAGAAAGAGAGTTAGTATATGTGCTTGGAAAGGGAGTCAGCACGTGTATAGGGATAGTGAGTCAGTACATGTATAGGGATAGTGAGTCAGTACATGTATAGGGATAGTGAGTCAGTACATGTATAGGGATAGTGAGTCAGCACATGTCCTTAGCAAGGGTGTTTAGGAAGGAAGTCAGCACATGTGCTAAGAAAAGAAGTCAGCACATGTACTTAAAAAGAGAGTCAGCATATGTGCTTAGAAATGGAGTCAGCATAGGTGTTTAGAAAAAAAATCAGCTAATGTGTTTAGAAAGAGTCAGTACATGTGCTTAGAAAGATAGTCAGCACACTAGACACATATGCTGACTCTCTTTCTAAACACATGTGCTGACTCATTTTCTAATCACATATGCTGACTCTTCCTAAGCACATTGACTGATTCTCTTCCTGTACACATGTGCCGACTTCCTTTCTAAACACATATGCTGACTCCCTTTCTAAACACATGTGCTGACTTTCTTTGAAAGCACATATGCTGACTCACTTTCTAAACACATATTCTGACTCCTTTTTAAACATTATATGCTGACTCTCATTCTAAGCGCATGTGCTGATTCCATTTCTAAACACATGTGCCTTCTCTTTTTGTAAGCACATATGCTGACTTCCTTTCTAAACATATGCTGACTCCCTTTCTACATACATGTGCTGACTCCCTTTGAAACATTATGTTCTGAGTCCCTTTCTAACCTCATGTGCTGACTCCTTTCTAAACATATTTGCTGACTCAATTTCCAAGCATACGTGCTGACTCCCTTTTCATGCAAATTTACTGAATCTCTTGCTAAGCACATGTGCTGACTCTCTTTCTAAACTCATATGCTGACTCCCTTTCTATGCACATTTGCTGACTCTTTTTCTAAACACATATGCTCACTCCCTTTCTAAAAACATTTGCTGACTCCCTTTCTAAGCACATGCGATGACTTCCTTTCTAAGCACCTGTGCTGACTCACTTTCTAAACACATGTGATGACTCCTTATCTAAACACATCTGTTGACTCTCTTTCTAAACACATGTGCTGGCTCCTTTTCTAAACACATATGCTGACTCTCTTTCTAAGCACATGTGCTGGCTCCTTTTCTAAACACATATGCTGACTCTCTTTCTAAGCACAGTGATTTAGCACATGTGCTTAGAAAGGAAGTCAGCAAATGTGCTTAGAAAATGAGTTAGCACATCGTCTTAGAAAGGGAATCAGCATATGAGTTTAGAAAGAGAGTCAGGACGTGTGTTTAGAAAGAGAGTCATCACATGAGTTTATATATGGAGTCAACACATATGTTTAGAAAGGGAGTCATCACATGTAATTAGAAAAGGAGTCAGTACATGTGTTTAGAAAGAGAGTCAGCAAATATATATGTAAAATATGATCCTTGATACTGTTTCAGTAAGACCAAAACGATGATATTTTTCTGATTGTAAATAATATTTTCTGATTGCTTACGCCTCCAGAGTTCAGAAAATAGTTTTTTTTTCCTTAAAATTTGCTCTGACCTTTATCAAATAAATTTTAGGAAGACGTCTTGCCGGGATCTGAAGGTCCCTAAAGTTTCTTGGTCCCTACTCACCTAAAGTTTTGGAGACTTATGTAATAAAGTCATATGTCGGCAGCCTTCAGCTTACTACAAGACGTCCTGTCTAAGCGGCCTAGGAAAAGATCAAAGCAAAGTTTGAAAAGAATAACAACCATTTTCAATACTCTAAGGCATGAGCGATCAGGCAATACACTTGCAAGGGACACAAAATACCTATTTCTTACATAGTCCTGGGGTTCGTATCCTGGCCGGGGAGGATTTACTGGGCGCAAATCCTTGACTGTAGCCTCTGTTTAACTCAACAGTAAAATGGGTACTTGCTTGTAAAAACGAATCTTCGTGGGGGTCGTATTCCAGGGACCTGCCCGAAACGCTACGTGTACTAGTGGCTGTACAAGAATGTAACAACTCTTGTATATATCTAAAAAAAAATAGTGTATTGAAACCCGCCAAACACACAACGAAGGTTCTTGTTGCACCGTTCGAACAATTGTAACACCTATCAAGTTGTAACATCTTTTAACACGATGTAACCACCTTGTAACATAATGTAACCACCTTGTAACATAATGTAACCACCTTGTAACACGATGTAACCACCTTGTAACACGATGTAACCACCTTGTAACATAATGTAACCACCTTCTAACATAATGTAACTACCTTCTAACACAATGTAACCACCTTCTAACACGATGTAACCACCTTGTAATACAATGTAACCACCTTCTAACACAATGTAACCACCTTCTAACACGATGTAACCACCTTCTAACACGATGTAACCATCTTCTAACTCGATGTAACCACCTTCTAACACGATGTAACCATCTTCAAACACGATGTAACCACCTTCTAACACGATGTAACCACCTTCTAACACGATGTAACCACCTTCTAACACGATGTAACCATCTTCTAACTCGATGTAAACACCTTCTAACACGATGTAACCACCTTCTAACACGATGTAACCATCTTCTAACTCGATGTAACCATCTTCTAACTCGATGTAACCACCTTCTAACACAATGTAACCACCTTCTAACACGATGTAACCATCTTCTAACTCGATTTAACCATCTTCTAACTCGATGTAACCACCTTCTAACTCGATGTAACCACCTTCTAACACGATGTAACCATCTTCTAACACGATATAACCATCTTCTAACACGATGTAACTACCTTCTAACACGATGTAACTACCTTCTAACACGATGTAACTACCTTCTAACACGATATAACCATCTTCTAACACGATGTAACCATCTTCTAACACGATGTAACCACCTTCTAACACGATGTAACCACCTTCTAACACGATGTAACCACCTTCTAACACGATGTAACTACCTTCTAACACGATGTAACCACCTTCTAACACGATGTAACCACCTTCTAACACGATGTAACCACCTTCTAACACGATGTAACCACCTTCTAACACGATGTAACTACCTTCTAACACGATGTAACTACCTTCTAACACGATGTAACCACCTTCTAACACGATGTAACCACCTTCTAACACGATGTAACCACCTTCTAACACGATGTAACCACCTTCTAACACGATGTAACCACCTTCTAACACGATGTAACCACCTTCTAACACGATGTAACCACCTTCTAACTCGATGTAACCACCTTCTAACACGATGTAACCACCTTCTAACTCGATGTAACCACCTTCTAACTCGATGTAACCACCTTCTAACTTGATGTAACCACCTTCTAACTCGATGTAACCATCTTCTAACTCGATGTAACCACCTTCTAACTCGATGTAACCACCTTCTAACTCGATGTAACCATCTTCTAACTCGATGTAACTACCTTCTAACACGATGTAACCATCTTCTAACTCGATTTAACCATCTTCTAACTCGATGTAACCACCTTCTAACTCGATGTAACCACCTTCTAACTCGATGTAACCATCTTCTAACTCGATGTAACTACCTTCTAACACGATGTAACCACCTTCTAACACGATGTAACCACCTTCTAACACGATGTAACCACCTTCTAACACGATGTAACCACCTTCTAACACGATGTAACTACCTTCTAACACGATGTAACTACCTTCTAACTCGATGTAACCACCTTCTAACTCGATGTAACCACCTTCTAACACGATGTAACCACCTTCTAACACGATGTAACCACCTTCTAACACGATGTAACCACCTTCTAACACGATGTAACCACCTTCTAACACGATGTAACCACCTTCTAACACGATGTAACCACCTTCTAACACGATGTAACCACCTTCTAACACGATGTAACCACCTTCTAACACGATGTAACCACCTTCTAACACGATGTAACCACCTTCTAACACGATGTAACTACCTTCTAACACGATGTAACTACCTTCTAACACGATGTAACCACCTTCTAACACGATGTAACCACCTTCTAACACGATGTAACTACCTTCTAACACGATGTAACTACCTTCTAACACGATGTAACCACCTTCTAACACGATGTAACCACCTTCTAACACGATGTAACCACCTTCTAACACGATGTAACCACCTTCTAACACGATGTAACTACCTTCTAACACGATGTAACTACCTTCTAACACGATGTAACCACCTTCTAACACGATGTAACCACCTTCTAACACGATGTAACCACCTTCTAACACGATGTAACCACCTTCTAACACGATGTAACCCCCTTCTAACACGATGTAACCACCTTCTAACACGATGTAACCACCTTCTAACACGATGTAACCACCTTCTAACACGATGTAACTACCTTCTAACACGATGTAACTACCTTCTAACACGATGTAACTACCTTCAAACACGATGTAACCACCTTCTAACACGATGTAACCACCTTCTAACACGATGTAACCACCTTCTAACACGATGTAACTACCTTCAAACACGATGTAACTACCTTCTAACACGATGTAACCACCTTCTAACACGATGTAACCACCTTGTAACACGATGTAACCACCTTCTAACACGATGTAACCACCTTCTAACACGATGTAACCCCCTTCTAACACGATGTAACCACCTTCTAACACGATGTAACCACCTTCTATTAAAAATTAACACCATCTAACATGTCAATAAACATAATAAAAACATGTTGTAACACTTTCAAACAAGTTGAAACACCTTCTAACACGTCAATAACACGTATAATAACAAGTTGTTACACATTATAACAAGTAATAACACCTTCTAACAGGTTATAAAACATAGTAACAACAAGTTGTTACACCTTTTAACAAGTTGTAACAACTGCTAACACGACATAAAAAAATAAATACAGCAAGTTATTACACGTTCTAACACGTTGCCACACCTTCTAACAAGTGGTTACACCTTCTAACAAGTGGTTACACCTTCTAACAAGTGTTACACCTTCTAGAACGTTGTAAGACATTCCAACAAGTTGTTGTTACGCCTTCTAACAAGTTTTAACACCTTCTAACACGTCACCAAAAGATAATAACAACACGTTGTAACAACTTCTAAGCAGTTGTAACAGCTTATAACAAGATGTTACTCTTTTTAACAAGTTGTAACACCTTCTTACAAGTTGTTACAGTTGCTTCACATTCTAACACTCATTAATCATTTTCTTACATGTTGATATCAATTCAAACAAATTGTTACAACTTCTAACAAGTTGTTTCAATTTCTAACAGGTTGCTAAACCTTCTAACAAGTTGTTACAACTAAGAACAAGTTGTAAAACCTTCTAATTTGGTGAAACACCTTCTCACAGAATGTTACGCCTTCTAACAATCTAACACGTCATAAAATCATAACAAAACTCTGAATCATGTTGAAATAAAGTAACAGTTGGACCGTTACGTTTGTGTGTTTCTAAGTACAATGATTAGCATAGCATTATTGGTTGTTCAAATTCAATAATATTACTAATACTATGATTTAATTATGATTACAGGTGTACAGGTGTAACAGGTACACACTGTGACGCACGTGTGCTGAAGGTGCCAGTGTCGGCCACGATAGCAACCTGGCTTCTTTCCCTGTGACAAAGAACACAATGAATCTCCTCATACTCAGCCTTGATTCACAATCTCTCCTACTTCACAGTGTTTCTTGCTTCACAATCTCTCCTACTTCACAGTGTTCCTTGCGTCACAATCTCTCCTACTTCACAGTGTTTCTTGCATCACAATCTATCCTACTTCAGAGTGTTTCTTGCTTCACAATCTATCCTACTTCACAGTGTTTCTTGCGTCACAATCTCTCCTACTTCACAGTGTTTCTTGCTTCACAATCTATCCTACTTCAGAGTGTTTCTTGCTTCACAATCTATCCTACTTCAGAGTGTTTCTTGCTTCACAATCTCTCCTACTTCAGAGTGTTCCTTGCTTCACAATCTATCCTACTTCACAGTGTTTCTTGCTTCACAATCTATCCTACTTCAGAGTGTTTCTTGCTTCACAATCTCTCCTACTTCACAGTGTTTCTTGCTTCACAATCTATCCTACTTCAGAGTGTTTCTTGCTTCACAATCTATCCTACTTCACAGTGTTTCTTGCGTCACAATCTCTCCTACTTCACAGTATTCCTTGCTTAACAATCTATCCTACTTCAGAGTGTTTCTTGCTTCACAATCTATCCTACTTCACAGTGTTTCTTGCGTCACAATCTCTCCTACTTCACAGTGTTCCTCGCGTCACAATCTATCCTACTTCACAGTGTTTCTTGCTTCACAATCTATGCTACTTCAGAGTGTTTCTTGCTTCACAATCTCTCCTACTTCACAGTGTTCCTTGCGTCACAATCTATCCTACTTCACAGTGTTTCTTGCTTCACAATCTCTCCTACTTCACAGTGTTCCTTGCGTCACACTCTATCCTACTTCAGAGTGTTTCTTGCTTCACAATCTCTCCTACTTCACAGTGTTCCTTGCGTCACAATCTATCCTACTTCACACTTTTCTTTACTTCAAATCTATCAAACTTCTCAGTGCTCCTCGCTTCACAATATATTCTTCTTCAGAGTGTTCCTTGTTTCACAGTCTATCCAAGGTCAGTGAATTGCTATCTTCACAATCTATCCTACTTCACAGTGTTCCTTGATTAACAATCTATCCTACTTCACAGTGTTCCTTCTTTCACAATCTATCCTACTTCACTGTGTTCCTTGCTTCACAATCTATCCTGCTTCACAGAGTTCCTTGCTTCACAATCTCTCCTACTTCAAAGTGTTCCTTGCTTCACAATCTATCCTACTTCACTGTGTTCCTTGCTTCACAATCTATCCTGATTCCCAGTGCCTTACTTCCTTACTTCACAATCTATCTTACTTCGGAGTGTTCCTTGCTTCAAAATCTATCCTAATTCACAGTGTTCTTTGCTTCACATTCTCTCCAACTTCACAGTGTTCCTTGCTTCACACTCTATCCTTCTTCAGAGTGTTCCATGCTTCACAATCTCTCCTTCTTCGTAGTGTTCCTTGCTTCAAAATCTATCCTAATTCACAGTGTTCTTTGCTTCACATTCTCTCCAACTTCACAGTGTTCCTTGCTTCACACTCTATCTTTCTTCAGAGTGTTCCATGCGTCACAATCTCTCCTTCTTCATAGTGTTCCTTGCTTCACATTATCTCCTACTTCAGTGTTGCATGCTTCATAATCTATCCCACTTCACAGTGTTTCTCCTAACTAATTCAATGGCTGTCCTGAATCTCTGTATTAGTTCCTCACTCCTAACTCGTCCAACATCATTACCCCCTGCACTAATGCAAATAATGGGTTTGTTTCCATTTCCCGTCATAATATCATTCATGTTTCCAACAATATCACCAATTCCAGCTCCCGGATAGCAAACCCTTAATCTGTTCCCCCTATCTCTGGCACAAAACGTTCTGTCTAAATACCTCACCTGGGAATCTCCCACAACCAAAATTCGCTTCGATTCTCCCTTTTCCTTTCGAGCAGTTTGAGAGACCTGCGCTTCAATGCTCCTCGTTACTTTGTCATTGCCTCCTCGCTGAACAACAGGTTCACCACAGCACTCGTCCTCTAATACGTCAAATGCGTTAAAAGTCCTTAGGTGTAGGCTATTAGTTGTCGGTTTTGCCAAGGTCTTCTTAAGACCCCTGTCTTTCACAACTTGCCAAGACGAGGTCTTCTTAATACTGGTCCCGTCAGTCCTTCTTAATGAGGTCCCATCAACACTGGCCTCCTCCTTAGTTTCCTCTCGAAGTCTCAGCCGTCGTACCTCCTCCCGCAGAGAATCCATCTCTGCTCTCAGAGCTCCAACCAGACTCACCAAATCCTTCACTAATCCTTCCATTATTGCAATGATTAGTATAAATTGGATAAGTTTAGATTTAGGAAAGACTTGGGTAAATACTGGTTCAGTAACAGGGTTGTTGATTTGTGGAACCAATTGCCGCGTAACGTGGAGGAGGTGGGGTCCCTCGATTGTTTCAAGCGCGGGTTGGACAAGTATATGAGTGGGATTGGGTGGTTATAGATAGGAGCTGCCTCATTATGGGCCAATAGGCCTTCTGCAGTTACCTTTGTTCTTAAGTTCCACTTTCAACATTTTCCCACTCGACTTAACCCCATTTGTACAAACTCTCTCTTTCCTTTGGTATAGTCATGCCCTAATCCAACTTAATATAGCGCTGCATAATGCAAGAAAAATGACAGGTTGGATAACAAGAACTTTTCACACTAGAGATGCTATACCGATGATCATACTTTTCAAAACGCTTGTGCTCTCTAGAGTGGAGTACTGCTGCACAATGACAGCACCTTTCAAAGCTGGAGAAATTGCTGACCATTAGAGCATGCAGAGATCCTTTACTGCTAGAATCCACTCAGTAAAACATCTAAACTATTGGGACCGACTAAAGAGCCTAAATCTGTACTCCCTTGAGCGCAAGCAGGAGAGATACATAATAATCAGTCCAGCAACCAGGAGGCCTGGTCGACGACCGGGCCGCGGGGACGCTAAGCCCCGGAAGCACCTCAAGGTAACCTCAAGGTAAGGTAAGCACCCCGAATACCATAAGCCTCTATCTTTTTAATCAGTCTTTCATGTTGCACTGTGTCACTGTATCATATGTACTGACACCCTTTCTAAGCACATGTCCTGACTCCCTTTTTAAGCACATGTGCTGACTCTCTTTGTAAACACATGCTGACTTCGTTTCTAAACACTTTTATGATGAAAATCTTTCAAAGCGCATGGGCTGACTCCCTTTCAAAGCACATGTGCTGACTCCCTTTTTAAGCACATGTGCTGACTCCCTTTCTAAGCACATGTGCTGACTCCCTTTCTAAACCCATATGCTGACTACCTTTCTAAACTCATGTGCTGATTCACTTTCCATGCACATGTACTAACTCCCTGTCTTAAAACATGTGCTGAATCTCTAAACTCATATGCTGACTCACTTTCTAGGACTATGTGATGACTCCCATTCTAAGCACATATGGTGACTCCCTTTCAAAGCAAATGTGCTGACTGCATTTCTAAGTACATATTCTAACTACCTTTCTAATCACATATGCTGACTTCTTTCCTAAACACTTAACTGACTCCCTTTAAACTACACTACACTACACATAGAAATCACAATAGTGTGATGCATCAAAGAACAAATCCACAAGGGCCGTGACGAGGATTCGAACCTACGTCCGAGATGATCCCAGACGCTGCCTTAATCGACTGAGCTACGACATGGTCAAAAGAGTTGAAACCGAAGTTCTACTGAACTTACTGGATCCTGCAGCCTCTCCGAGACACAAACCAGGGTTTACACAACTCCCCCATGCACTCGAGCTATGTCAATAGGCCGTTCTACCTCTTCGCCCTTACTTCATTACATACAGAAATCACAATACCGTGTTGCATCAATGAACAAATCCACAAGGATTTGTGGATTTACTGGATCTTACTGGATCCTGCAGTCTCTCCGAGACACAACTTTGTTTCTGACTCCCTTTCTAATCACATGTGCTAACTCCCTTCCTAGACACATACAGTGACTCCGCTTCGAAACACATGCATACTCTTTATGTAAGCACATGTCTTGACTCCTTTTCCTCACACATGTGCTGTTTCCCTTTCTAAACACATAAGCTTACGCCCTTTTTAAGCACATGTGCTGACTGCATTTCTAGGCACTTGTGCTGACTCTCTTTTTAAACACATATGCTGACTTTTTTCTATACACCAATGCTAATTCTTTTACTAAACACTTGTGCTAACTCCCTTTCTAAAAGTATATGCTGACTTCCGTTCTAAACACATGTGCTGATCCCCTTTCTAAGCACATGTGCTGAATCCCCTCTCTGATAAACACATGTGGTAACTACCTTTCTAAACACATGTGGTAACTACCTTTCTAAACAAATTTGTTGTCTCCCTTTCTAAGCACATGTGCTGTCTCCTTTTTTAATCACATGTGCTGATATCTTTTCTAAATACATATGATGTCTCACTTTCTAAGTTTATGTGCTAACTCACTTTCTAAGCATGTGCCGATTTCTTTTCTAAATACATATGCTGACTCACTTTCTAAGCACATGTGCTGACGCCCTTTCTAAACATATGTGCTGACTCACTCCTAAACATTATATGCTGACACCTTTTCTAAGTACATATTCTGAATCCTTTCTAAACACATAAGCATATTCTTTTTGTAAGCACATATCCTTTCTCCTTTTCTACACACATGTGCAGAATTCTTTCCTAAACACATATGCTGACTCCCCTTCTAAGCACATGTGATGACTCCCTTTCTAAGCACATGAGTTGTCTGTCTTTATAAGAACATGTGCTGACTTTCTTTCTAAGCACATGTGCTGACTTCCTTTCTAAACACATGTGCAGACTTCCTTTCTAAACACATGAGCAGACTTCCTTTCTAAACACCTGTGATGATTTCTTTTCTAAATACATATGATGTCTCACTTTCTAAGCACATGTAATGATATATTTTCTAAATACATATACCGATTCACTTTCTAAGCACATTGCTGACTCACTTTCTAAACAACAATCTAATTGCCTTTCTAAATACATGTGCTGACTTCCTTTTTTAACACATATGCTGATTCACATTCCATGCACATGTACTGACTCCCTTTCTTATCCCATGTGCTGACTCTCTTTCTAAATTTATATGCTAACCTCCATCCTAAGCACATGTGCTGACTCCCGTTTTAAACACATATGCTGACTTCCTTTCTAAACACAAATGTTGATTTCCTTTCAACGCACATATGCTAACAAGTTTTATCTAAACACATGTGTCTAGAAAGGGAATTAGCATATGTGTTAAGAAAAATAGTCGGTATATGTGTGTTTAGAAACAGAGTCAGCACATATGTAGTTAAAGGTGAGTCATAACATGTTCTTAAAAAAGAAGTCAGCATATGTGCTTGAAAAGGGATGAAAAGGAAAAGAGCTGTCTCTTTTTCTAAAGACATATACTGACTCCTTTTATAAACATATATATTTGTAAAAGGGAGCCGGTCGGCCGAGCGGACAGCACACTGGACTTGTGATCCTGTGGTCGCGGGTTCGATCCCGGGCGCCGGCGAGAAACAATGGGCAGAGTTTCTTTCACCCTATGCCTCTGTTACCTAGCAGTAAAATAGGTACCTGGGTGTTAGTCAGCTGATACGGGCTGCTTCCTGGGGGTGGAGGCCTGGTCGAGGACCGGGCCGCGGGGACACTAAAGCCCCGAAATCATCTCAAGATAACCTCAAGATAACAACCAGATCCCTTTCGCAATCCGACTTCGCAATTTCAACACCATCCAGCTCGTATCTTGTAACTCTATCATCATTACCTAGCCTCAGAACTTTACATTTATCAGCATTAAACTGCATCTGCCAATCTTTTGACCATTTCAAAACCCTATTTTGATCAACTTGAAATGCTAGTGAGTCTTCTTCCGTGTTAATTTCCCTACCGATTTTTATATTATCGGCAAATTTGCAAATGTTGCTACTCAAACCTGAATCTAAATCATTTATATATATTATAAACAACAGAGGTCCCAGGACAGAGCCTTGAAGCCCTCCACTAACAACATTATCCAACTCTGACTTAACCCCATTTGTACTAACTCTCTGTTTACTTTGGAATAGCCAATGCCCTTATCCAACTTAATATAGCACCCCCAATGGGCAATAATCCAACTTAATATAGTACCCCCACATGGGCTTAGAAAGGAAGTCAGTACGTATGTTTAAAAGGTATTAGCACATATGCTTAGAAAGGGAGTTAACATATGTGTTTTGAAAGGAAATCAGCATGTGTGTTTAAAAAGGGAGTCAGCAGATGTGCTTAAAAATTGAGTCAGCACATGTGCTTAGAAAGGCAGTCAACACATGTGCTTAGAAAGGGGGTCAGCACGTGTGTTTAGAAAGGGAATCAGCATAAATGTTTAGGAACGGAGTCAGCACATGTGTTGTGAATGGGAGTCAGAAATGGGCCTTGCATAATAGGCTGAGAAGTGCGTTCTGGCTGCTAGGTACGACATATATATATATATATATATATATATATATATATATATATATATATATATATATATATATATATATATATATATATATATATATATATATATATATATATATTTTTCTTAGCATCAGGGCTTAATTGGAATAGGAGTTCTCCAAAACTCATTTTCGTACTTTTAAGGTGAAGAAAAGAAGTGATTTACTATAGAGTGTATTACACTTATTTGTATAATTTGCACGACGTTTCGAACCTCCATGGTTCATTCTCAAGTGAACAGATCTTACAATACTAGTTGATTTTATACCCGCATTAGGTCAGGTGATAATACAATGAAGGTGAAAAACACCTTGCACCTTGCTACTTGCAGAAGCAGGGAAAAAACGAGGAACATATTCATCTACAATCTTAACCCCACGACTCAAAGAAGCAGCGAAACAACTAAAAAATCTGAAAGACGTAACAATAAGAAAAGCCGACAAAACAGCAGCATATGTATTGATTCCTACCCATGAATACATGAACAAAATTAGCGACATCCTAAGTGACGACTCCAAATTTCAACGAATCACGAGGAACCCCGTAGAAGACCTTAAGCGGAAAGTAAACAAAACAATTACAGCAATCAACGCAAAGAAAGGTAGTGTGCATTTCAATAAACTTCAAGGCGACTATGGCTTAGGATATGCCTACGGCAATGTTAAGACGCATAAACCAGGTAACCCACTACGCCCTATAATCAGCCAAATACCAACCCCAACTTATCACCTGGCAAAGAAACTCAATGAACTCCTAACTCCATACACTCCAAGTAAGTTTAGTCTACAATCATCAGCAGATTTCCTAGAATTGATCAAATCTACCCAGCCCGATGGAATCATCGCTTCCCTGGACGTTGAATCCCTTTTTACCAACGTCCCAGTCGACACAACCATAGGAATGATACTGGACAGAGTATACAGAGACGAGAGCACCCCCAAATTAGACATACCTGAGCCACACTTGAAAAGTCTTCTCGAAGCATGTACAAAGGAAGCCCCTTTCATCAGTCCACAAGGAGA